CTATAGTAACCAAACCTGCCAAATAATCGAACACTAAAGTTGGGAAAACCAGAGTGACCCTCGGAAGATCTGTTAGAAACTACAAGGACTCGCCATTATTCTTGGGAGGTAACGCTGTTACTCCACTTCATCAACTCATCTGGAAAGTGCCCTAACCATTCCGTTTATGAAAAAAGACACGATAAGCCTTCGTGCAGTACATTGCAACAGGGTAATGATTGTAAGAGCTCCACTGCCGGAGCGAGTACGTCACATGAAAATTCATGCCTTGCACGCCCTTCGCTGGCCGAAAATCACTCAAATGTCGAAGTGCCAACATCCGTCGAGAATACTACAGTAGCATTATATCGCCCTAGCGCGGACGGGACAGTAATGAGCTCTTCCATAAATCGTAAGCAAAATATTGTCATAAGGGGCGCCCCACAGTCCACGTCGTGCATTCCGAAGAAACGAGTGACGCACGACCTAGACCTTCATCAGTACGCCAGTGCCGTCCTAAAGGATGGGGAAATATTCACCGTTAAAAAAGCTTTCCGACTAGGCAAAGCGGACCCAGATCGTGACCTAAAAACATCCCCAAGGCCCCTGAAAGTTATTTTGGAAAACGAAGCCCAAGCAACGCTTCTGTTAGAAAGTAGAACGACCTTGCGCAACTCGCACAAGGAAGTGTTTTTTCAATCAGACTACGAACCGGGGGAAAGACTGAAAATGAGAGAACTGAGATCAGAATTGAAGGAGAGAATTGGCAGAGGAGAGAAAGGGCTGAAGATCAAAAATGGACAAATAGTCCAGACAAAGGGGTCTTTCCTGTGGTCAGAACCTGTCACAATGAAGACCGGGTCTCTCCAACGAAGCAGTCATGGAAGGTTATATCCGCAAATGTGCAAAGCCTCTTCAACAAACTAGACGAACTAAGAGACTTAGTCGTTGGAATTAACCCAGACGTTATGGCGTTCACAGAAACGTGGCTTACTGAAGATATTGCAGACTCAGAAATATCACTTAGAGGATATCTGCAATTCAGGAAAGACGAATTAAGCCGAGGAGGCGGTGTCATAATTTGTCACTTGCAAGCTGAGCGCTATGGCTGATGTACATAGCCTGGTACGTGATGTGGAACTGCTAAGCGTTACCATATCTGCTAAGAATGTCCGATCACTGACTCTTTCGGTGGTGTACCGTTCACCTAACCATACTTCTGACCAAGATCTCATGCTCGTAACTGAACTTAACAAAGTCAGTGGGAAGAAAGATGTCCTTATCGTTGGGGATTTTAACGCTCCTGGCATTGATTGGTTAACATGGACTGCGCAAGGGCCGCAAGACAGCTTTAATTACAAACTACTACAATGGGCAACAGACAAACTTCTCTGTCAGAATGTTACCTTTGGAACACGGGCCAGGGAAGGACAGCAGTCGAACTGTCTTGATCTTATTTTTAGCCGAGAGGAGGAACATGTGTTAGACCTGTAGGACCGACCGCCATTAGGGTCAAGCGTCCACATCACGCTCTATCTCGAGTACTTACTGTTTTCCAAACCCGTTCAACCCGATAGGTGGGAGAGGAACATTTGGAAAGGGGACTATTCTCTCATGAGGAGGGAAGCGGCAGCTGTATCATGGGAGACTGAACTGCATGGTCGGGCAAACGACAACTGGAATACTTTCAGTTCCTTACTGAGAGAGAATGTTTATCCCAATTGTCCTCTCAGAAGAAAGACAATCACAAACTGCCCAAAATGGATAAACCCGGACTTGAAGGCCTCTTTCAAAAAAAGGAATAGTCTGTGGAGTCGTTACACACTAACTGGCTCCAAAGAACACTTACAAGAATATAAGCGACAACGAAACGTTTGTAAAAGTGAGGCCTCAAAGCTGCGAAGGAAGTTTGAACTGAACATACTTCGAAATTCGTTGGAGCATCCAAAAATTCTATATGGTTATATTCGACCATCGATTTCGATGATTCCACCGTGTGCCCCACAGCAGAGGGTGGTGGGAGCAGGGACGGTGACTTACGCAGGGGTTTATAGTGCCAGTAGACTTGCGCTGCATCTACCTAAACTCTCTCCTGAGCCCGGTGTCAAGACAGAGTCAAAAAGACCGGAGACGAGGGAGGCCGCAGGTGGATGGCTCGGACGGATCCTCACCTTGGCGCTCGACTCCGCACCCCCTGGTCCACACAACAAATGACCAGGATTTCTACCGCCACAACAATGGAGGTTGTGACAGTGATCCCAGTTTTGCGACGGCAGTCGACAACAGGGACTGCCAGCGCATCCCCTTCATGTTGGCATTTGCTATTGCGCACAGATAGCGCCTGCCAGAATCCGGTGTGGCCCCCGTGTTGGTCCAGCGCATCTAGCACGTGACTCGTTTGGGGGGCACTATATGGTTATATACGAAGTACTAAAAGGACTCAGGAGCCTATCCCTGCCCTTAGGTCTGCAGATGGAAAAGTGGAGACTGATGACCAGGTTAGAGCGTCCCTCCTTTCCGACTTCTTTCAGTCCGTCTTCACCCGAGAACCTAGTGCTATATTTGCTCATCCATCCGTTCGCCAAACAACCTCTCCTCCTAGTACCCTCCCCCCTCCTACCCCCTCCCTACCCTCCTTAATCGACGAACCACTCTTTTCATCGACCATAGTTAGGGCCGAGGTACTCTGGCTGAAACCTGCCAAATCGCCTGGCCGAGATAGAATTCCAGCACTAGCACTTCGTGAACTTGCTAATGAACTGTGTAAACCCTTATCCGCAATAGTTCAAAAGTCATTTGAGGACGGCGAGCTCCCGGAAGAATGGAAGTGCGCACTCGTTACTCCGATCCATAAAGGAGGCTCAAGACTTGTCTGCGGAAATTATCGTCCCGTCAGTCTTATTTTCATCGCCTGTAAAATAATGGAGCGCATTATCAAAAGACACTTGATGAAATACCTGGAACAGAACAAAATATTGTGCGATGCCCAACACGGCATTCGTTCAGGGCGCTCCTGCCTAACGAGTGTTCTTTACTCGCACGAGAAACGGACACGAGTTGCCAATAAGGGTTTTCCAGTGGATGTCATATTTTTGACTTCAAGAAGGCCTTTGACAGTGTCCCACACAGACTTCTTTTACAGAAGATCTGGGATGTAGGAATTCAAGGAAGAATGTTTAGATGGATCAGGAGTTTTCTGTCCTCCAGAGTACAAAGAATCGTCGTTGGTAACTCAACGTCGGGATGGGCAGAGGTGGAAAGTGGTGTCCCACAGCGTTCTGTCTTAGGTCCAGTACTCTTCCTGATTTATGTTAATGACTGCATCAGCGAAGTGAACTGCGAGATCCTCATGTTCGCGGATGACATATAAATATGGAGTGAAGTCAAGTGCGATGATGACACAGGGAAGTTGCAGTTGAACATCGACAAACTGTGTGATTGGTCGAACAGATGGCTTTTAATAATAATAATAATAATAATTTTTATGTAAGACCCGTCGGGGTCCCATCAATGCAGTTTTGAAGTTTAACGTGTCCAAATACGTAGTCCTGCACCTGAACAGCGGCCGCAATGCCTCTCCCAAGCACCAGTACTATATTGACGCGACGAGGTTAGAAACGGTGGAAAGACACAGAGATCTGGGTGTATGGACGACCTTAAATCTATCGCCATCAGAACACTGTAGAAAGATGGTCCAGAAGGCAACTAGTACTCTACACTGGATGAGACGTGCATTTAAAATTTTTCCTCCCGAACTCTTTGATAGAATCTTTGGTGTCTTTGTAAGACCTCATCTGGAGTATGGAATGCCAGCAGGTTCACCATGGATGAGGAAGGATATAGATTAACTCGAACAGGTGCAACGCAGAGCGACAAAGGTGGTCGACGGTCTAAAGCATTTGTCTTATCAGAAGAGGCTGAATTTGCTTGGCTTATCCCCTCTCTCTTATTGACAAATAAACTGCAGTCTACTCTGGCCGTTCCGGAATGTCCGCGGCCAGGGATGCTCATTAGGAACAGAGGACTTCTTTGAGTTTGCCCGTGCAAACCAACTACGCGGCCATGCCTACAAAGTCGGGAATGAGCGCACGAGGTTAGACCGTCGAAAATTTTCATTCAGCCAGCGGGTTGTCAGACCGTGGAACTCGCTTTCAAGAGAGATGTTGACGGCTGACACAATTTGTGTGTTTAAAAGAAAACTTGCTCGTCTAGTTTTCGACAGAAATCGGCTTGTACAGCATGACTATGCACAGCCAGTTTTGTAAAATCTGTCATATAAATCCTTCCGCACTAATTTACAGTGACCTTATGCACTACCTTATGATTATGATTGAACTGTGACCCGATCACATTGTAAATGTCTGCAATTTTACTTTCGAGTACGAATCTGCGAAAGCACTGCGCATACATAGGGTCATCAAGGGCTCTGCCTCTAACCCTTCAAATATATACATTCTTATTTACGAAAGAAGATGAACACCCGATCTCTGGGACAGTAGGTGTATTAGTCTGAGCTTTCGGTCTCAGGGACCTATTCTCCGCCGCCTGCGAAAACTTTGGGCTCATTATCAACAAGCAGAAGACGGTGGTGATGTATCAACCGCCACCCAACTCAGCCACAGCCCCCAACGCGTCGACGCAAATCCGCGTGAACGGACCCCACCTGCAAGTGGTGGAGAACTTCCCGTACCTGGGCAGTATCCTCTCCTGCAACGCCAAGATCGATGACGAAGTCGCCAACAGGATCTCGAAATCCAGTCAAGCCTTCGGTCGCCTCCAAAGCACAGTTTGGAATCGCCACGGTCTTCAGCTGAGCACGAAGCTAAAGATGTAGAAGGCCGTTATCCTGCCGACGCTACTGTATGGAGCGGATACTTGGACAGTGTACACAAAGCAGGCAAGCCGACTGAATCTCTTCCACCTCAGTTGTCTTCGTCGCATCCTGAGGCTGAACTGGCAGGATCGAATCCCCGACACTGGAACGAACGGGAATCCTCAGCATCTACGCCATACTGAGACAAATGCAGCTCCGCTGGAGTGGTCACCTGGTGCGCATGGACGACGAGCGACTACCCAAACGGCTCTTCTACGGAGACGTCGCGACTGGTTCTCGCCGTCAAGGAGGCCAAATTCGCCGTTTCAAGGGTACCCTGAAGTCCTCCCTGAAGCGCCTGCTACTCAACCCGACCAACTGGGAAGATCTCGCACTCGATCGACCGACCTGGAGGAGGAAAGTGAAGACAGGCGCTGCGATCTACGAAGCCAATCGCATCGCTGCCGGCAAAGCGAAAAGCGAAGCCCGCAAATCACAACTTCGCCCAGTACGCAGCGCCGCCGCACAACCGCTTCCAACGTGTCCTCGATGTCAACGGACATTCCGGGCTCGAATCGGACTTGTTGGACACCTTCGGATCAACTGCACCTCTCGAACTGCACCAATCATCGTCCCCCCGCCCACCTCTTCCTCCCCTCCGCCGCCAACTAACTCTGACAACTCTTCTGAACCACCACTTCCATTCTCCTCCTCCTCCTCCTCCTCGCTCCTCATTCACGAGAGCGGAACTGACCGCAACTCCGACACACCCACCACATCCAGAACATCCACCACGCCCACTCCCACCCTCGCTCCATCGCCCTGCACGCCCATCACCACCACCACCACCACCATCACCGCGTCCTCCGTAGCTGACACTGCCGCCGCCGACTTCACCTGTCCACACTGTTCACGCACATTCACCTCAAGCATCTGCCTGGTCGGTCACTTGCGAATCCATCGCACAGAGACGGGCGAACCAGTGCCTGGAGCACCAACCTATACCCACCAAGCTCGTCTCAACTGCCCACACTGCCCTCGCACCTTCAGGCATCGCATGGCCCTATTCGGCCACATGCGCATCCACGACAGCGGCATTGACCGCACTCCCGACACACCCACCACATCCAACACATCCACTGTGCACACCCCCACCCTCGCTCCATCCATCTGCGCTACCACCACCACCACCACCACCACCACCACCATCACCACCACCACCACCATCACCGACTCCTCCGTAGCTGACACTGACACCGCCGACTTCTCATGTCCACACTGTCCACGTACATTCACCTCACGCATCGGCCTGGTCGGTCACTTGCGAATCCATCGCACAGAGACTGGCGAACCAGTGCCTGGAGCACCAATCTATACCCACCATGCTCGTCTCAACTGCCCACACTGCCCTCGCACCTTCAGGCATCGCATGGGCCTATTCGGCCACATGCGCATCCACGACGACCTGCGGTAGACAACCGCCGGCCACACCACACATTCACTCACTCCCTACCTCCCACCACCACCATCACCCCACCACACATCAACACTCCCACACCTCATGAACCCAACTGCCGCCTCCCACGCAAGTGGGAAGTGTGCATCTCGACTCGGTCCCCATGCGATTTCGGCTGCACGGGTGACTTGTGTCCGAGACTATCCCGACACGTCAAGCGTCGTGGATAGGAAGGTTGCTGATTGACGCCCGCTCTCGGTTCACGCAGTTCGTCACGTTGTGTGTGCGTTGTGTGTAGTGGCGGACTGGTGGGCAGGGGACGGGCTGAAACAGCACCTTCCACGGCCCTCTCACGCAAGTGAGAGACAAGCCGCTCAACCCCCGTTGTGTGAAATCCTGGTGTTTGTGTGTATGGGGGGCCAGGTCGTGCTGTGGCGCACGCAGGCATGGTCAGTCAACCGTGTCAGCCACCGCGCCCATTTCCCACTCCAGTCTGCTGACTGGCTCGGACAGCGGCTGGGGTGTGGGATGGGAAGGGAGAGTGAGGTCATGGACTCAGCGCATTTTCCTCACTATTAACATTGTGGGATCCGAGCCAGGCGTTGGCGGCACGCCCAGGTGCGGCTTCGGCCGTGCCAGCCTCCAAATCTCTGTTGTGTTGGTTGAAATCCTGGTCATTGTTGTGTGGACCAGGGGGTGCGGAGTCGAGCGCCAAGGTGAGGATCCGTCCGAGCCATCCACCTGCGGCCTCCCTCGTCTCCGGTCTTCGTGACTCTGTCTAGACACCGCCTCGGGCGGGGGAGGAGGAGAGAGGGTAGGTAGATGCAGCATAAGTCTACTGGCACTATAAACCCCTGCGTAAGTCACCGTCCCTGCTCCCAGCTGCTGTGGGGCACACGGTGGACATCATCGAAATCGATGGTCGAACTGTCGGATAGCGGGGACAGTCCGCTGTTCACTGTAGGCATTCACAGGGACATGTTATCTCCCGACGCAACTTCCCTAACTAGGCGGAACTGTCGTTGACGTAAATTAATCAGGTTGCGCTAGACATGTGACTTGAAGTTTAATTCTGGGTTCAATATTTCGATTTCGAATGTCACATGATTTTCTTACCAGTGGATAGGCAGTTTGCCTGCGATCGGCAAAGGTACTCACAGGAAGAAAATGACTATTTGTTTCAGTTTTAATCTCCAAAATTATTATCTCTCGTGACAGCAGTATCCATTAATTTTCCACTTGTTGGTTTACTGGTTGTAATGCTTTCAGTTGCCCTTTGAGTGGTATGAGCATTCACGAGAGTAACAGTTGTCGTAGCAGTAGTAGGGGATTACACAACGCCATCAGGCGTTCTGCAGAATGAATAGTCAACGTTAACTTCGGTAAACAAGCTATCTAATGCGCAGTCGCGTTAGCAGTATTGTTAGTCGTAGACTTAGCAGTCCATATAGCCTACATCGTACTTGCGCTAGGACAGCACCAACAGCAGCAGGATCTGCAGTGTCATATCTTAAACTGATTGTGCTCGTAATATCTTGTGCTAGTGTTATCGGTACTGCCTGCGGATGCGAAAACTGCCGATGGACGGACTGTATTTCCATATGCTGACCACTGTCTTGTGACAGTTCGCGTCTCCGCGCCCTCCGCCTTTGTCACGCTGCCGTCCTGTCCGCCTCACACTCCTTGTCGATACGCTGCTGGGACGCGCGAGCCTCGTCACTAGCCTCGTGAGTGCTCGAAGCCAATCAACGCTGTCCCCACTCTGATTGGCTGGCGCACGTGGAGACAACGAAGGCCGCACACACGCGCTGACAACACCCCGAAGGCGGACACAGACAACAGCTTGCTTGGAGCGCGCTCGCGGCGACTGCCTACAGAGCCCTTGTGCACGCACTTCCTCAGGCAGTAAAAGTTGTCCAACTCAAACCGTCTTCCCTGTCTTTTGATTGGGAATCTTTATCTTGTCGACTACACAACATTCGACAATTGGTGACCCCTTTGCGAAAAGAAATCTTTCTTCCTAATCTACGATAATGCCAGGCGTTGATCATGGACAACTTTCCACCGGAAGTGCAGCATATTTTGGCACCCGCCTCCGGCATTCTTTCGACAACGCAACTTACTCAGATGGCTGATCGTCTTATGGAGATGCGCGGCTTTTCCCAGCCGTCACTTTCAGCACTCTCAACTCCCTCAACTCATCCTACGTCTTCCCTTTCACAGTTGGAGATCGAGCTCAGCAGGCTGGCCGATGGTATAGCTTCACTCCAGAAGCAGACAGTCTCCCCCTCATTTCGGAGCCAACCGAAGCCGCCCACTCCGCATCTCCAGTCTTCACATTCAGCCCGTCCAAACGCAGCTGCCATCTGCTGGTACCACACCACCTTTGGTGTTAAAGCCCGTCGCTGCACTTCTCCCTGCTCCTTCACCTCCAAGCAGAGCAAACGGGTAAAACCGGTCAGCCCGAAGGTAAGTGCAGCCAATCTTCCCGACACCTCTTCCGGCTCTGGTCGCACCTTCTATGTTTGCGACACTGCGACTCGCAGACGTTTCCTGGTGGACACTGGAGCCCAAATCAGCGTTGTTCCCCCAACTGCAGCTGATCGTCGTTTTCCTAGCCCTGGTCTTCACCTCCACGCTGTCAACTGTTCCCCCATTCCCCCTTTCGGCAGTCTGTCCCTCACCCTGAACATTGGCCTTCGTCGGTCATTCACTTGGATCTTTGTGATTGCTGATGTCCCTCATGCAATCCTCGGCTCGGACTTTCTTGCCGAGTTCGATCTCCTTGTTGGCTGCCGACGTGCCCGTCTCCTCGACCGCACAACCGATCTGTTTGTTCGTGGACCAACTCCCTTTACTGTCCCTACCAACTTATCCGTCTTAGATACGGATATTGCTAGCCCCTTTCGGCAACTGCTTCTTAGTCACCCCAACATAATTAACCCCCAGTTTCGCAGTGATGAGGTTCAACATGATGTGGTGCATCATATTTGCACCTCAGGTCCTCCCGTGTTTGCTCGACCGAGACGACTTGCACCGGAGCGTTTTCAGGCCGCGAAGGCGGAGTTTGAACACATGCTGCAACTGGGAATAATTCGACCGTCCGAGAGCCCTTGGGCGTCCCCACTGCACACGGTGCCCAAGGCGACATCAGGCGACTGGCGACTCTGTGGTGACTATCGTGCCCTCAACAGCGCTACCATTCCTGATCGGTACCCCGTGCCTCATCTTCAGGACTTTGCCGGAGCCCTTTTCAACAAAGCAGTTTTCTCGAAGATTGATCTGGTGCGTGCTTTTCATCAGATTCCAGTCGCCCCTGAGAACATCCCTAAAACCGCCGTCACCACACCCTTCGGTCTCTTCGAGTTCATCCGCATGCCGTTCGGTCTTCGTATTGCCGCCCAAACGTTCCAGGGGTTCATCGATTATGTCTTACGTGGCCTACCCTTTGTATACGCCCACATTGATGACCTCTTCGTTGCCAGCCGGAATGAAGAAGAACACGAAGGGCACCTTGCCTTGGTGTTTGACCGCCTCGACAAGTTTGGCGTTGTCATCAACCCCTCCAAGTGCGTGTTGGGCGTGCCTTCACTCGAGTTCCTCGGCCATCAGGTCGACTCTGAAGGTTTGCGTCCCCTACCCTCCAAGGTTAAAGCAGTTCGTCATTTCCCTCCGCCAATTTCCAAGCGACAGTTACAGCGATTCCCCGGCATGGTCAATTTTTTACCGCCGGTTCCTACCGAACTGTGCTGATCTCATGTTGCCGCTCACCGACATGCTTTCTGGTCCCAAAGGTCCCCTCGAGCTGACTGGTGAAGCACTGACTGCTTTTGAGAGGATCAAGAATTCCCTTGCCTATGCCACCTTACCCACACATCCCGCTCCTGAAGCTCAGCTGTCTCGCATGGTAGATGCTTCGACCGTAGCAGTAGGTGCAGTCCTTCAACAACACCTTGCTGGTTCGACTCAACCACTTGCCTTTTTCTCCAACAAGCTCTTACCAGCCGAGACACGCTACAGTACCTTTGGCCGTGAACTACTTGCCATTTACCTGGCTATGAATCATTTCCGGCATTTCCTTGAGGGTCGTGACTTCACTGTTTTCACTGACCACAAACCGTTGAATTTTGCACTTCGTTCCCACTCGGAAAAATATAATCCGAGGGAAATCGTCCGCCTGGACTACATCTTCCAATTCACCACCGACATCTGCCACATTGATGGCACGTAGAATGAGGTGGCTTATATGCTGTCCAGACCCTCACTGTCTTCCCTCCAACTCTCACACGGGATCGACCTTTCTGCCATGGCGGCTGAGCAACAGCGAGTCGGTTGTCCTGGCGACGAGTCTGTTAGTGGTCTCCAACTCCAAGACCTTCCTCTGACCACTTTGTGACGTCTCAACTCCCTTTCATCGCCCTTTTATGCCCGCCTCGCTGCGTCGAACTGTATTTCAAGCTCTGCGTGGACTCTCCCACCCTGGGATCCGAGCCTATCAAAAACTCCTTGCGGAAAGGTTTGTCTGGCCTGGCATGAACAAGGATGTCAAAGCTTGGGCCTGGTCGTGTCTGCTCTGCCAGCGCAACAAGGTGCAGCGTCACAACAAGGCCCCACCAGGCACTTTCCCCAGTCCTGACGCACGGTTCAGCTATGTGCACCTGGATGTCGTAAGCCCCTTGCCTCCATCCAATGGTTTTAACCACCTCCTTACCTGTGTCGGTCGATATACCCGCTGGGCTGAAGCTGTTCTTTTGCCGAATGTGCAGGCTGAAACCATCGTGAAGGCCTTCGTCAGTCGTTGGGTCGCCATGTTCGGTGCTCCATCCACGGTTACGACTGATCGTGGTGCCCAGTTTGAGTCGATACTCTTCTAAACGCTACTCAATTTCCTTGGCTGCACACGCATTCGGACGACAGCCTACCACCCAGCTTTCAACGGTATGGTGGAACGTTTCCATCGTCAGCCAAAGACCGCCCTGTGTGTCGTAGAAAATCCAGGAAACTGGTCGGACGACCTTCCTCTTGCACACCTCGGTATCCGCGCAGCTCTGAAGTCGGATTTGGGCTGCAGCGCATGAATTGGTTTTCGGCACTACCCTCCGACTGCCAGGCGAGATGATCACCCCAACTTCTCGTGGGGCCGACAAGACTCCTGACAATCTTGTGCACCGTTTGCGGCAATTTATGCGCCCGCTTTCCCCGGTTCCACCTCGAGCTNATGAGTCAGTGTGCTAAGTCTAGAAATGTTAACCGGATTTCTGAAATGCGTTTTCGTTTCGAAAAGATTACTTAAGTAGGGTTTTGAACCTATTAATCACGTAGCGTAATCATATAATTATTCATTTACCTTGGTACGCTGCCTTTCAGAAGAACATCATCCAGGTCGCATGCAACACTGTCCTTTCGCAAAAAATGACTACTTAGTCAGCATGATTTTTTCTCGTTGACTTTCGATGCGCTTGCCAAATAAATGCCATATCATGGGAAGCACGCATGAACTTATTCATTCTTTCACTCATTCAGTAGAAAATTAAGTCTTCTTTAAATTTTATACTCGAAGGAAGGGTATAATTTGGTTTTCTAAACATCTTCCAATTCCCGATTAATTTTGAGCCCTCCCTGCGGTTAGGCGTGCACTCAAAGTTTAGAACCTACACATCACACATTTTCTGCGTGAGGAATAGCATACATTAAGAGGAAACCATAAGGGGTTCATTAAACTTATCAGGTAGTTTGAGTCATAGCGTAAACTTTACAAGCAACATTACTAACTACAGAGATATGATGGACTATGGACGGTAATTTCACGGTATTAAAACATCTCATTATTAGAAACCTTTTAAAAACCTACTTATATCCTTTGTACGAGCATAAATTCGGCAGACTGCGTAATTTTCTACTGACTGAGTGGAAGAATGAATATTTTTATGCCTGTTTTCTATGGAATATAACTGAATTTTCAACGGTATCGAACATCAATTAGAAAAATGCAATGCTACTTGTATAGTCGTCTTTTACAGAGTGTGGTTCTTGCCTGCGGCCGGTAAATTGTTTGTTTGAAAGCTAACACCCCCAGGTAACTGACTTGTTATGAAATTTTGCTGCATGATGATTAATTTTAAAACCCGACCTACGTTATCCTTTGCTCAGCGAAAACGCGTTTTAAAATTTTAATTAACAGTTCATGACTTAGCACACCTGCTGGATGTCATTAACTGATGACTTAAGGGGATGTGCAGTTGCAGTAACACGGGTCGACGCATAGAAGCATAAGTTCAGCAAAGCATAACGGTAATGGCGTCGGTTGACTTCACCAACCGTTCAGTCTACCGGATTGTATTTGTCTTCGTACAGTGCGTGACCGATCTCATAAAATGTTGGCCGAAAGTATGAAATGCGTTTTCGACTAGGATAGAATTACGTAAGTGAGGTTGTACTACTGATTATCGTACGACACAATCCTAGAGTATTTCGGACTCGCCATGATGTCGGATTTTGAACGAACTTCTTTTCGACCTTCCGCAGAAACCACACTCGGTGAAAAGTGGTTACTTAAATAGCATGCGTTCTTCACATCGATCTTTGGTGGTCTTATATATTCAAATATATTTTTATAGAAAACATGCACAAAAGTATATTTTTACTCGTTTGGCGGAAAATCACACGAAAGTGTATATTTAGGTCTCGAAAATTTTTTTCAATTTCGCGACTACTTTGGTGCCAGACCAGCCGTTGCATTAACGTTTAGCGCCTGCAGTCTACAAGGTGCATACTTTCCGCGTAAATAACATCATATATTTCTCTATGCCTTTAAGAAGATACTATATAGAGTTTTTAAAATCTTGCAATGAATGCGGACTATGTTGTACATTTCATGAGGAGCACTGGCAAACGGACATGTGCGATGTTGGGTGTATGGACATCGCACAGTTCTAAAAATCTCCTAAGTAGAAAGTGTTTTAAAACCAAAAGATAACATTTCTTGGGGTATAAAATGTAAAGAAAATGTGATTTTCTACCAAACCAGTAAACGAAAGCAAATTTTTGCACATGTTTTCTGCAAAATATACTTGACTTTATAAGACCACCGAAAATCAATGTGAAAAGTGCATGCGATTTAAGTAGTCATTTTTACCGAGTGTCGTTTCTGTAGGAGGCGGAAAAGGAGATCATTCAAAAGCCGACATCGTGGCAAGTCGGAAATACTATAGGATTGCATCGTATGATAATCATTATTACAAACCCGTCTAAGTAATCCTTCCTAATCGAAAACGCATCTCAGGATTTCGGCCTAAAATTTCATGAGATCGGTCACGCACTGCAGCTGTATTAACAAATGGAGCCAAGATGAGAATTTTTTTCATCAGTAGCTACCGTTGTGCCTATCGCCCGTACGAACACTTCCATTCTTGTTTGCAGTAGTCTACAGTATTATAATGGAGTGCCGGAGGTATTGACTGCGTTGGCGAAATTGGAAGACCTAGAAGACTACTATCATCGTCGACGAAAATAGTAATTATTACTGTGGCATTAGATCCGGTTGCCGAATTTGTAATAGTATTATTAGTCAATAGTAGCGAAGAGACGAGTGCCAGGAAGCAGTCTTGAAGAAGGAGACACGATTGCTGGGATAAGAGCTTTGTCAGCATGACGTTTCGGATTCCTGCTCGAATCCATCATCAGAGACAAAAGCAGATACGGATGGTTCATGCGCAAGGGGCTGCGGTATTCATAGTATGCAGTTGTCATGCTACCGCCTACCGATGAATATTCACGGCTCCCCCCTCCCCACCTTCATCAGTGATCGTTGCACTTGGTGAGCAGGCAATTTGATGGCCGACATTAGCGTCGGTAATTGCTGCAATTTCATCCCCTGCGTCGGACGTTGGAGTGATAATGAATGACTCGACCATCTGACCCACCGACCCTGAGGTTGGGAAAAGTGTTCACATGTGCGCTCCCCGCGTGTCTAATTACTCAGCCTAGGCGAAGTCTCAGCACCGAGCATAGAATAGACAGGTCATTGCACTTGTTAATGGAATGGGGGACCAGAAACCCATGACCGAAGCAGCTCCCGGCTCACGCGGTTGTCACCTCTTGCGAGAATTTCGGCCTCGTCGAATTTGAATGTGTGGCTGGATGTCGTCGAATGAGACGCAACTTGAGAGTTGGCGTCATTTCTTTGCACCGCTGCAGCGTGTTCGGCCATTCTCGTTCGGAGCTGTCTTCCAGTTTCTCCGACGTAGTTGCTTCGTCCGCAACTGCACCAGATCCGATAAACGACTCCAGACGTTTCTTGCCGAGGCAGCGGGTCTTTCGATTTCATTACCTCACGCCCGATGGTTGCCTCCGATCTGTGTGCAATTCCAAATCCAAGTGGTGCGAGAAGGCAGACGACAGCTCCCGAAAAGTTGCTGACATACGGAAGCGCTCGTCAAAATTTTGTGTCCCTTCGTTTAGGCCTTTCGTTCCTTTTGTGTATGCATCGGTTGACGAAGTTGCGCATGCAGCCATTGGCTTTGAAGATCCGTCTGAGGTATTTTTGTGCGCTGGAAGGCAAGACTGCCTAACTACAATACCCCCGATGTGTCTTCAAAGCCAATGGCCGCATGCGCATAAGGGATGAAAGGCCTAGCCAAATTGACACCAAATTTTGGCGAGCACTTCCGTATATCAAGAACGTGTTGGTTTCGGTTTTGCCGGTAGTACTAATCCTTTGAATTTTTAGAGGTAATAGTTTACTTGTGTGAAATCAATACTGCGGATGACCACGGCAGTGAATTCTTTTGGTGATCATAATGGCCGCCGCAATATACCTACCGTCAGTAGCAATGCACTTTTTACTGGTATTACCACTTGTGCAGGCGACAGTACCCGCATCATTACTACTAGTGATAGTAGTATTAGCATCGCCGGCGGTATTAACGACAATAGAAATTCCACTATTAGTAACAGCAGTTGTTGTTGTGATTAAATTTCGGAGCTACCGATTGTAGCCATACTAGCCATACTCGCCTACGCTCAATGTTATTGGCAATACAGACAATATTACCAGTGAGTTCCGAACTTCTAATTGCCCTCTTACTTCTAGACATACCAGTTTTAGGAGGCGCCATTTCAATACGATTAGAGTCCCGTCTCTGTTGGTAAGTATATACGAATCATCGTAGTTGTGGTGGCAGCAGTAGTGCCTTACCTCACGTTTTGGCCACGACCCCGGCCGCATTAGCGCTCACACGCCTTGGTAAAGGTGTCTTAGTGTTCTTTCCTATGCCGTGGCTGCGGTTTGCGAGTTCCGTAGCTGAAGTACATAGGTTACATTCCGCGTCTTCCAGTGAAATCTCTTGCAGGACTACATGAGTGGGGTGCAATGTAAGCTAAGATTTTATGCACGTCAGAGTTTGCACTTCAAAGTCACTACTTAATTCTATAATACCCTTTTTAATCTAATTTCATAAGTTATCCTCACTGTCTTCCACACTACATTTACTAATCCTCCTTGTTACAAATTTTACCTGAGTCTAGAGGCACAAGAGAGTGAAATATTGCACTTAAAAATTTAC